TCTCTCTCTTGCTCTCTCTCTCTCTCTCTCTCGTCATTGTCGCTCCGCGCCCTACCTACCATCTCTTGGGCGTCTATTAATCTGCACTGCCTGTACGGCTGATTTGCTTACTTATGTGTAGCGGGTTTTTCCAACTTTTCTCAAAGGCGACACCTCAGCACTTGACAAACTCTTGGAGGCAATTAACCCTTCTGATAAAGCGTGTCCCCTGCTGTGTGAGTTTTATTGCCTCAGCTTCGTGATCTCCGTACCTCACCCCCGTCTCTCTCTCTCTCTCTCTCGCACTGTCTGTCCACCACCTAACCCCCTCCTCCTCCCTATCACACGTGTGCCGTGCCGTGCCATGTCATGTGTGTGTGTGGCTAACTTGACCAGTGTTGTCAATTTTCACACGATCTGCAATCGCTTGCTACATCTTCAAATCTGTCAATCATGGCAGCTCAATCATAATTTTGGACGCATATGGTGGAGGGACAATTTGGTCGCACGTTTAAGTAGTAAGAGTACAAAATCAGTGCACCTGGCTTTATGGTGGTGGTGGCGGCTGGTGAATGTTTGCCTGCTTTTGTCACATTTGGGGTGATGGTTTTTGACTGGGGAATCACAGCCTTTCGCCGCCAGCGATGTAACCCTTATTGCCAATAGCACACAAATCAGACAGTCACGGTCTTTGCATCACATTATTAGTGATGAGTTTACTGTGCGTCCGCAAAACACTCCACTACTTCTTCTTGCATGTTTTCCCTTTTCTCCGGAACTCCACCACGTCAGACAACTGACTAGTCGTCTGAAATAGAGCCAAAGGTAGTTTGTTTCCCTTAAACCTCACCTTCGTCGTCTTCTTCACTTTTTAGCACAATCCAACTACTGCCGGTGCTACTGCAACTGCTGCTGCTGCTGCTGCTGCTGCCGACGGACTTGATGGTGATGTTACCGCTGGCAAGGGTAGCAGTAGTACAAGGGGTAGTGGCAACAAGGGTGATGCCGTACGTCTGGGGCCGCTGCACATCGACATCACCTCGCCCACATCGACAGCGAGCAGCGGCAGGAAGAGTGGCGGTGACGACGACCAAATGGGTATGCAACGCAGCGAAGCAAAGGCGAATGGTCTCCGAATCTCCAACGGAGACGCTGGTTCTGCGGTGAGTTTGCTTTTTAACTCCACTAGCTACACACGTGAAGGTGCAAGCTCTCGTAATTGCCGTATTCTTAGCATTATTTAATCATCCCACTAAATTATTCATTCGAGTTGTTAAATATATTGCAGTCTTGCTTGCATTTGTTTAGCTCTCCGCCGACAAAACATTCCCAGTTCTGTTGCCGAAAAACAACACCACCATTGCAACTGCGTCATCAGGTAGGTAGCTGGAAACCTTTACCCTAGAAATCTACATTCCAACGTAATTCAACGATTTGCCTTGTTTTAGCCTCAAAACGAGATCTGTTTAGCATTGCGGCGCTGACAGCAGTGGAGGAGAGAGAGGAGGCGTCGTCGTCAATGGTGAAGTCATCTCAAGAGCAGCAGCAGCAGCAACAACAACAACAATCACAAGCCCATTCGCCCCAGGTGCCGCAATCTCCACAGCTGCGACCGAATGGCCATCCGCTGACACCAGCACAGTGGTTGGAGCGTCTGTCGAATAATCGAGGTGGAGAAATGGCCTGGAACAAGGGAGGGATTGGGATGGCAGAGGAAGAAATGCGTCAACTCACTCACCTCCTCTTTACAGACCGGGTTTTTACGGAACAAGTTGGCCGATTGCCTTCTGTCGTTCAGATCATGGCATTCTACCACCACCACCAGCAGCAGCAACAGCAACAAGAGCAGCTGCGACAACTGCAGCAACCACACACCCCTCCTCCTCCTCCTCCTCCTCCTCCTCCTCCTCCTCCTGCTCTCCCACCACCGCTCAGTCTTTCGTCAAAGTAGACTTCTTTTTCTATCCCTTTGCTTACTAGTCAAGTGAATTCGCACCTTGCTAACACACTTCCTCTTATCTCTATAGCACCTTCAACTCTCAGCAGAATTCTCTTGGTGCAGGTGCACCGCAAACTGGCGCAATGCATCCACCTGCCGCCTTGACCACCAATAAGGCGTTTCCACCGCCACCACATCCACCCTTGCCTTTCACACCTCCCACTGCTTCTGCTACTGCTCTTGCAGCCGCCGCAGCCGCCGTCGTCGGTTGTGGTGGCAGTGGTGGTTCCCTCACCACCACCACCGCCACTACCACCATCGCTACTGCTAATCTCACCAGCATTGCAACTTACTTTCCAACTCCGGTGAACTCCACTTCCGCTGCTACGACGACGCCCATTCATCTGCCGCCGCCACCACCGCCACCGCCGCCGCCGTTGTCTCACTCACCAGTCTTCTTCAACTCCACCGCCACTGGTGTTGCTGCCGCTCTTGCCGCTGGCATACGGCCAACAGCACCCGGTGAGTAGTTCCCTCCTCATCTTCCCTCCCTCGAACCTACTCCACTGTGTCCACTTCACACATTGCGGTAGTGTCTCGTTTTTATTTTATTCATTTTTGTCATCGCTTTCTTCAACCTCCCCATAGCTGAGGATTCTTCTACCGCACTTTCGCTAT